TAAATAAATATTGAATAACAGAGGACCCAAAATTGTACCTTGTGGAACACCACATTTAACAAACATTTCTTTACTATACGAGCTTAATAATTTTACTGATTGCGGTCTATTTGATAAATAATTTTCTATTAAAGTATACATCTTTCCACGAAAACCTATTCTTTCTAAGATTTCCAAAAGTATATTGTGGTTAACTGTGTCAAACGCTTTTTGTAAGTCCACAAATACGCATGTCGATGGTACTTTTCCATCTATATTTTGGGTTATTTCATCTACTATATGGGGGATTACCAACGAATTTTTCCAGGCCTCCATCCCCACGCTTCAACAACATTTCGCAAACAGATCCCCGTGAACATGATGACGTCAAAATGACGTCATTATTCGGTCACGTTTGGTCTGAAACGTCATTGACTAAAAAATGACGTCATTTCTGCGACGACAACAAGACGTCCTTTAAAAAAGCTGTTCTTTTGACGCATTTTCCCGTCAGTAAATCAACATTTACCTGCAAAGAAATTATAGACTTTTGATTAACAGTAAGCTAAACTACATATCCAAAAACTAATAACTACTATTATTTATAAAAAAGTATCAGGAATTCTTCGACCACAAATATGACTTTTCTAATAATAATATTCCAGGTTCAGATATTTCAAAATGCTATGTTACATCATGTTTGCGAGAGACTGAACGTTATATCGACGTCACATATACGTCATATCGACTTCAGATGACTTCATATCCACGTCATACAGATGTCATACCTACTTTGTGTTTTGGGTGTGACATTGGACTGTCATATTGACGTCAGTTCTACGTTATTTTTGTTGGTCAGCGTACGTCAGAAGTGCCCTAAAAATACCACCATGTTCACTGGGATGCGCTTCGATTTGAATAGAATACATAAACCTTAGTTTACCAAACTTTGTTCATCCTTTCAATGAACACTATTTTACGGATACATCGTATCTCTCTCTTTCCTTTTCAAGAAAATCTGTAACTTACGCGATACGTAAAAATGTATGCTCGATGCACCCGAAACCAGCAATTCGAGAAACTAGACAATCTATTTATATGTCTGTCGTATTATAGCTTCCAGCCAAATTGAATATCCATCAAACAGGACGACTCCCACGACTATGTATCTAGGTTATAATCCCGTTTTAGTGCATGAAAATTGCTTTGCTTGGCGTATACGGAAGCCGATAAAGCGGAGACGCATGTCGGCGTCTTCTGTCGCCCATACACTGTCTGGTGGAAAGCGTCAATGGAGGCTCTGGATCTGGATGGCGGCCAAGAGAGAAGATGACCGATAAACGTATAGTAAGATTCGAGTTAGAAACGACCTTCACTCGTCTGTTTAATGGATGTCATATGAAATTTATTATGTATATAACCCAACTAACAATTATCACTCCTATTAGAGTTGCAAGAATGATTATACAGTATTCCTTACACAGCATTGTATACTGTAAGAACATTGGAAAAACCCTCTTAGAACAGCTGTACAAGCGGAATGGGCACCCCTAATAGGACACTTCAGTCATTTAAGAGGTTGTATAAGGGCTGCAGGTAACAGTTATAAAACAAAAGTGTAAACCTCTTGCAGCCGTTATAGGACATTTGCGTCAGTGGAAGATTCAGTTTTTGTCAACTATACAACTATTCTATTACGTGATTCTACTTCATTGCATCCTAACTATTTCTTATGTATTGTATAGACGAAGTGAAGAATATATAACTAACACATTACAGTCATATTGTCTACTTACATATCGGCCATTGTGAATTTCATACACAGGTATATGATAAACTTCTACACTTTGATATAGGGCTATTGAACTACTTGCGCAGCAAATTTTATTGTGATTATCGTGCAAATTAGTTACAAAATTTCTACGGGTTTCGTATTTGATTCATATTTAGACAATGATCAAAAGTATGTCTAGATTTCTAAGATGAAAAAACTGAACTTATCTGCGTTAAATCTTCCACAAATCCTATATTTAGACGCAATTACACTAATGTTTATCACTTTATATCTGTAATTTCGAACTGAAACATAATTGTTTAATATTAAATAGAGGAATACATGTTTGCCCAATATGGCGGGTGGTTGTGTACAATCATGGCATCGTCCATGTTGTCTTTAAGTTATTAGAATATTTTGGTGTTGCCTGCAGGTGTTATACAACAATTTGACAAATGTCTGAAATGAAATACCGACAGAGTCGAATGATTTACCCAGAATTTGTACCAGCTCTATATCTTCTGTTTGAACAGTTGATAAAACGTTTTGAACCAATATGCATGCGTTATTTGTCTTGAAACATTGGCTATGGCATTTTAACAAAAATATGACAGCAGAAAGTTAGGTTATGGTGAAGTTGTAGACCAACATATTTAGCATATGTACAGCCTTTAACAGTTACTAAACAACAGTTGTATAAGTGCTTCCGTTGGGAGCAATTTGTTGGCTAAAGTAGTAAATTGCACAGCAAAACAACAAGGCTCCGGTTTGTTTTATAAACGTTACCATGGATGCCACAACACAAACATTTAACTTGCAAATATGCCGTATAAAATAGTTGTATAAACGTTTATGCAACAGTTAAAAATTTGCCCTATAAGGTGTTGTATAACTATGCTATAAGAATATTTTAAACACCTCATTTTAGAGCAAATATGTTGCAGAAAGCAAATTTGCATTCCACACAACATTAGGCCAGCATTTTGGTGTTCAAGCAACAACAACATAGAGCTTTTATGGCTGAACGGTTCTTTTACCAAAAGCTTATAACACTACTTTGCAAGTTGGGATATCGCGTGTGGTTCGGATGACCTTTATACAAGCTTGCTTTCTAGGTTAATCTCACTATAGTAAAATACCAAAATTGATGACAGTAGCGAAACTCATCGTACGCCACTGCTATTACGCGGAGGCCTTCGAAAATGCGGCGCTTCTTCGTGAAATGTCGGTAAACGTCGCTGTAATCAAAAGGTACAGCGTCAAAGCAGTGGCGCACGATGACTTTTGCTACTGTCATCAATCCTGGTAGGTATTTATAGTTTGTTACAAATTTATTGCCTTCCCGAACAAAAGTGTCCATAGGACCAAGCCAATCCTATGATTGATTTATGAGAAATATGCGGATCAAGTTAGCCTGATTTGCAATAATGGTGAATGTGTCGACAGTACTTATCAGACCAAAAACTTGGAGAATCAGTGTACTAAAATAAATACTTTGTCAAAACACGTTGTAGGAGGGTGTTGGGAGGTATCATCTTGATCTCGACCATGATCCTTACAAGGTCAGTTTCTAGGCAAGTTGGTTTTTATATGTTAATTTTCATCTCCAACAACTTTTTTAGGACCACTTAAAACAGTAATTCATGTTTTTATACAGGGTGTCCGCAAAGTTGGGGTTTTCCTTTACACGACGTGTAGATCTTGAAAACATAAGCATTTTTTCTTTGTACCATGTACACCAATGTCTTAAGGGAACCGAGATAAAGGGCTCTGCAACATCAAAAATATCTGAATACCGTCCTGTAGCCGCGACATCCCCGACTGGTACTAGGACACTAGCTCAACCCGACGACAGAACTGGGTCGGGGTCAGTGAGTCAGGTCAGTATGCCACCTTCAACCGACGGTTACGGTCACGCGTGTAGAGGTAATCGCGTAGACGAGAATCCCTCAACAAGCACTAGAGACGTGGCTAGAGAAGTGCAAGTATCAAAAAGTAAAGTGTGGCAAACGCTGCGTGAAGAGGGGCTGTATCCGTTTCACGTCCAACGTGTACAAGCCCTTCAACCTGACGATTTTCTAGCAAGAGTGCGGTTTTGTGAGTGGTTGTTGCATCAACATGACAATAATCCGGACCTTTTGAAGTGCATATTGGTGACAGACGAATCTACGTTCACGCGTAATGGGGTGAATAACTTTCGCAACACTCATGTTTGGTCAGTAGAAAATCCTCACGCTGTCCGTCGGGCACATTTTCAACAAACATTTTCGGTGCATGTTTGGGCTGGCATGCTGAACGGTATGCTCATTGGACCATTTATTCTCCCAAATCGATTGGACGGGATGCATCAGCTGATTTCATTTTCTGTTGGAGCGGTATGTTTTCGGGCAGAGACGTACTTAGCCCTTCTCGTCAACTGGAGAGTGAGTACTTTTTCCTTTATTTTTTTTTACTTGGTCGCCCTCGTTTCACTACACATTACCTTTGTTATTTCAAGGGTAGTTGTTTCTGAAAAGGAAAACCCCAACTTTGCGGACACCCTGGCATAAAGGTTTTCTAGCAAGAATTTGTTGTGCGGTACTGGGTACTGACAGAAAATCTATGAATTCGTCCATCGCAAAACATAATCAGGATGACTGTGAAGAAATCCATCTGAATAAATTCGTGAAGAAATTGTTGGTATAAAACAAGGATTACGGTTACAGTAGGTACTGTTTGCAAAAATGATATATAGCGAATTTAACGGTAATAATTTCATCAAAATTGTAGAATAATTTGTGTTGTTATTTTGATAGATATCAAAAAATCTCTAAATTCATATATGTAGATACATATTGCTCTCTCTTCGACAGAATTTAAAAAAACGGTACTGGCCACTTTTCGCATGGATGACCCTTATTTTGCCTCTCTGAGACCTTTTATTTTATTTTGCTTATTACATTATAAATCCGAAATTGGTATTACATTTTCTCGATTATATTTTCTTTAATAATTGACCCATCTAAAATAAAATTCTAATACGCCAATGTGCCTATTTGACACGCGCGTCATCTTCTATCGACCACTTGAACTCCAAAGGCGCTTCGCCAGAAACCATATAGTTTTCTTCATCATAGACAGATGGCTGGTAAATATATTACGAAAGGTGACCCCGAGGTGGCGCTCGTCTGTAAATATTAGACAACACATCATACACGGATGGTCGCCAAAACTTGGCATGTTTTGACAATTCTCTGTGTCAACCTGTCAACAGTTGTCTATTGATACTTGCTGTTTATATGGAGTGAAGTGAAAAATATCCATTTATTGACAAATGAAATGAAAAATAAATAACCACTATGAGTTCGTGAATGCCATCAATTTTATTCAATAAAAGGGCAAATTACATCAGTCGACACAATGTTTCACAAGACGGAAAATGCCCGAGGTACTTTTTTGGAACAAACAAAAGCAGCTAGAGAAGAAAGAGCGCTGGAAAAACGAAAGGAATCCGCAGCTAAGCTCATTCAAGCTCACATTAGAGGATGGTTGGCAAGAGCTGAATTTGCAAGGGGCATTTTGTGAGTTATATCATGAACTAGAATTTTAATTAGGGCTATCTTAATACATGCAGGGGCACTTGGGCACAAAACAGCTAAAGGCCCCAGGCTAGACGAAAATCTGGAGCTCTGCTGTGCCACTAAAAAGCATTGGAGAGCAGGGGGTTTCTAGACATTTTTTTTTGGAGATTCTGTTTAATATTTTGATATTTGGAGGCGCCTCAACATGTGAAATCCTTGGCTGTCTGTACAGTTTTGATGAAGATGCATTCTTTCTATAAAAATGCAATAAACGTGTTAACAGTTTGATAGTATGTCACTGACAGCAAAAAATGAGAGTGCAAAGTATCCAATTAAGTGAAAATCTAGGCCTCTCTTGTACTCAAAGTGTCTATTTCTCCAGGGCAAAGTTCTCTTCTTGCCTACAGAGGGAGAGTCTGTTTTGACTGTGGTTTATTAAAAATACAAACTATCTATTGTATTGAGATGCTCAGTGCCAGTTTATTTTTATTATAATAAGAGATTTTTGTGAATGCAAATTGAACCCTCGATTCAACATTCGAAGGAAGGATTTTAGGGTCCCCCATTGACAAGAGTATTATTTAGCACAAGCACATTTTTTATTCAAAAATATTCAGCTTCACAAAACTACGTTTTACAAATGTTTATATCCACCATCACATACAGGGTGGCCCAATAACAAGGTTGCACCCCCATTTGTGCATAGCTGTCCAATACAGGGTGATCCAAAAATAAGATTAACACATTATCACTAGTTGTTTTTAATTTCTGATCCAGGTATACCTAAAAACCATGCTTCAAGCTCATTTTCAAAGACATCAATCCTTAAGGTTTTTTTATTTTGTTTAGGTATATCATTGCACTTTGAGTTTTTGGACTTGTGATATTTCTATATTATTAATTTATTAATTATAATAGATTATGAAGCATATTTATTTATTTTGCATAAATCCCATCAGCATGTTTTCTACCTATTCGAATATACTAGTAAATCAATATTGCTTCTGTAGGGCCAAATTCGATGAAACAATACCAACAGTACCTGAAGACATCTCAAAAACTGAATTCAAGCCTGCGATTGAGATATACCACCAAGCGCTGCGTCTTTTACTTGTTTGGAAGAAGGAAAGGGACAAGGAACGATTCGCAAAGCTATGTCGATACCTGATTATCACCTTAGAGAACGATTCCCCAAAATGTAGCTACGTCGGAGTAGCTCTGAGCAAGGAACATGTGATAAGATGGATTTCCCACATGAACGACATCCTTTGGAAATGCTGTGAATATCTGATTGATCTCAAACCGGAATTTGCAAGCGACATGAAAAGCATCGTCTTGTATTTGCACATGCTCGTCTCGTTCACAAGCACCAACACGTGGACTGCGCTGAAGAACAAGAATATGGAAATGTTGAAACCCGGGATGAATCAGTTGTGCGCTAATCTTATGGGGCAGCTTTTTCACAAAGGGTTTTATCCAATACTAAAGGTAAGTACAAAAATATTAAAGGTATTTTTTTTTGTTGAAGATTTATTTAGCATTAATGCTACAACGTCATTTTTGCATAATTGTTCTTTTACATATTTTGGAATCAATTTTCTGTATTTTACATATTAAAGTCATTTTTTAATTTCACCTTAAATATCTTTAACACTGAGTATTTGAATTTCTTAAATAACAGTTACAAAAATAAATATAACATAAATATTGATGGCCAAATAATTTATTGATATAAATTCTACAATTAAATCTTTAGAATAAAATTCTAATAGAAAAGGCAATCCACATAATGAACAATTATAAATATTAAAAAAGGCATTATATGAATTTCTTAAATTTAAATACTTCCTTTTGAAATACCATGTAAATAGAAGTCTTCATTAAGCTCATGCACAAGTTCGTGTACGTGTGAAATTTATTGTCTTTCAATATCCTTTCTACTGTTTAGCGTGTAAATCCTGAAGAAGTAGCCAGTCCACGAGTGCTTTGGGTGTTGTCAAGTGCTACGTGTCCTAAAACTGCTATTTCTGCGGGTTCATTTCTAACTGGTCGATTTTCATGATGGCGATTACGCCAAATATTAGACACAGATCCAGTTTCTTATTTTCTTATCAACTTACTCACATGCTTATCGTTAATATATACAGGGTGGCTTCGAAGTTGAGTCATTTATTTCAACAGTGAGTAGATCTGATCAAAAGAAATGTTTTTTCCTTTACCATTTTTCTGGTAAAATTAAAGTAACAAAGTTATAGCCCTTTGGAAGTTTGAGTACCGCCCTGTCTCAATAATAATATTATGTGCTCGTGTTTGGCGACAACGGATATAATCCGCCGTATCGGTTCATCGCATCGGAAACAAAAAAGCGAAAGAATTTGGAACAATGTTTTTACAATTATTTTATTCATTTGTATACAGTCAGTGTCAGTGAATAGTAGTGTCTGTTGCGTGGCTCAAACGAAATAAAAAATGGCACATGTTTCCCAATCGAGTGCAACCAACCCCTCGTGCCTTTGTTAATGTAGTACAACGGGCTCGTGAATCAGGTGACTTAAGACCTCACAGGGGACCTCACGATCAAATACAGGTCCGCACTGAAATACTTGTCGGGAGGATACTTTATAAAACAAGGTAAATTTTTTTTTTTATTTTTACACACATATTTTGGTTTATCTTCCTTCTACAATCATTATCTGAAAATTAATGACTCAACTTCAAAGTCACCCTGTATGTGTGGATGTAACGCAACCAGGCAGTAGCACTCGCGTTGCTTCCATTTTGGTAATACAGTTTTGTTATGTCTACCCTTTCTTGAATTGAATAAGTCAGTGTTCAATATTTAAGCTTATTAACATTTAACGAATTCATATTTTTTTTAATATCACTTTTTAACAGTTCTAAAGCAGTATCCAAATGTCAAAAAGAAATATACTGCATCTTCTGTATTGTAGATAACAAGATTCGAAATTTTATAACACTGGAATCAAAACTGTTATAATGTCTCTCCAAAGTTTCTTGTTTGTTCATAGAAGATAACCTTATTTTGTTATATTGGAATATGAGTTTGAAGCATTCTGCTTAAAGTAATCATGAACTTATTTTTTCAGGAGCTGCTACTGAAAGGCTTAGGTAGAATAAAAATATCATTCAAAAATGTCTCATTGTCAGCCATCCTGACGCTCTCTCTTAGGCCACTGGTAGCAGCAAATTATTCGGACAAACTTATGACTATTTTTCTTATTAATATATTATCTGTACCTGGACTGATACACCATCTGCAGACTCTTTCCTCAGAGGTTAGTAAACTACTATTTTCTTATCAGTATACACTGCCCCATTAGAGCAGAATCATACCATGTCAAAAACAGCAATTGCACCTTGCCGCAGATAAAACAGTTCTTTGATTATCAGTTCCCGGTAGCAAGCTGTGTGTTGGAACTGTATCCACGACCGCAGTTCACAGCCGAGTATACAGGCTACTGTCCTAGCACAGTGATACCGTGGTGTGTGCGCACGAGTCGGCGTGACGCAACTGGAAAGCGATTGAAGATATCTTACCTATCTTTGCTTATTCCCTTTCAGGTTCTCTTTGTATGTTGTGTTTTTGTTTCCAGTCCATACAGACGGTGATAAACCATAGGCTGTTTCCAAGAAGCTTGGAGCTACTTTCGAGTCAGCAATCAATGAGGATAGTCTTTAACACTCTGGAAGGAAGTTACGCATTGTGCTTGCTGGCGAATTTAATCCACCTCGCGTACATTGAGAGACACACCACGCTAAAGGAATTATGTTTTCCCACATTCACAGTAAGTCTGCATAAGTGACAGTAGCTGTCAAAGCTGTAAATTTACGGTTGTATTGCTATTGCCGAAAGGGTATTTTATATAACACTTGTCTTCGATTGGTTTTAAGCAACTCCTGTCATTGGGCGCGTACGCGTCTGTTGGAAATAAGTGTCTATCTATCTAACACTTCTACCTCTAATTTTCAAAAAACGATTTTGACGAATATAATACTGTTACAAAATGATTATTCGTTCATCGTTTCCGTGTTTCTAGGTGGTTGTAACAGGTCTGTTGGAAAGCTGTCAAAACTATGTGGTTAGCAAGCAATCGACGTTGACACACTGGCATCCGGTTTTGGGTTGGTTTGCACAAGCGATGGATCCGGCATTGCACAATGCCATCCAACACGTAAAAATACAGCTGCATCTGTTGTGGAACCTGGAAATTATACAAATCTTGTTAGGTAATAAATGGCAATTGAATAAACTATCTGTATGCTTTAGAAGTACGCAAGATTAGTCACGAGCACTTCGTTTATTGGGTTTATGAATACATAGCACTACATACACTTGCTGTGTTTAAAATTTTTTTGTTTCATTATAGGCACAGCTTATGAGGCTCAGAGTGCTGAATTTTAAAACAAAGAGGGATCATGGAGGTGTTATGTCCGATTTTTTGTTTTGTTTCTAAAGATTTATTCATACAATGTCAATTTTTTATAATTATTCGTTAACACATTATTGGAATCAGTTTTCTGTAATTTTACATTCTTATATATTAAAATCACATCTCTCAAGTTATCGTTGCTAAACGTAGTAATGATTATTTTGCTGAAATTCCATAACCTTTTCTTTATAGGAAACTCGCTGGCTGTGTTAGTTGCCGGCAGCGACCATCCGGGATACAGCATGAGCCCCACGCAAAACAGTTTCAGCGGGTCAAATTTTTTCAAGAAAGTGTTGGAAGGTAGAAGCAACAAATCTCATTCGCTCAAAACGTACAGGGCTTTAGGTAGTCCAGAGGTTCACAGGGTGATTTTGATCTGCTCAATGTACCATACGGCTTTGAATACCCTAACGCAAATGCAGCTCGACATTTTAACAGGTATAAAAAGTATAATCATGTCTGAATATCTGAAGGGTATGAGAATTATAAAATGTTTTTTAATACGATTTATTAGCTTGACCTGTATTTAACGGAATGTTTCAACCTGCTTGAAAATTAAAAAAAAAACGATTTTTTTTAAATTGAATTTAGAAATTTGTAAAAAATTTGGATTTAAATATTTGGAAAATAATTTAGAAAATTCGGAAATTTCGAAAATAATTTGATAAATTTGTTTATTTTGAATAAATATGGAAACTAAAAAAAATTGTAAATTTAGAAATTTGAAAAAAAAAATTGAAATTAAATTTAAATTTATTGTCATATAATTTACCAGACATAAAAACTATATTCATGGCTAAATATCTGAAGGGTGTGAAATTTATAAAATGTTTTTTAACGCGCTTTTATTAGCTTGACCTGTACAGAACGGAATCTTTCAACTTACTTGAAAATTTAAAAAAAGTGGATTTTAATTTTTTTTAAAATTGGATTTATAAATGCGTACAAAATTTGTATTTGAGAATTCGGAAATTTTGAAAATAATTTGAAGATTTGGATATTTTGAATAAATTTTTAAACTTTAAAAAAACTTGTAAATTTCTAAATTTGAAAAAAAAATTGTAAGCAAATTTTAATTTATTGTCATATAATTTACCAGAGATAAAAACTATATTCATGGCTAAATATCTGAAGGGTGTGAAATTTATAAAATGTTTTTTAACACGCTTTTATTAGCTTGACCTGTATAGAACGGAATCTTTCAACTTACTTGAAAATTTAAAAAAAGTGGATTTTAATTTTTTTTTAAAATTGGATTTATAAATTCGTACAAAATTTGTATTTGAGAATTCGGAAATTTTGAAAATAATTTGAATATTTGGATATTTAGAATAAATTTTTAAACTTTAAAAAACTTGGAAGTTTCGAAATTTGAAAAAAGAAATTGCAGCAAATTTTAATTTATTGTCATATAATTTACCAGAGATAAAAACTATATCCATGGCTAAATATCTGAAGGGTGTGAAATTTATAAAATGTTTTTTAACACGCTTTTATTAGCTTGACCTGTATAGAACGGAATCTTTCAACTTACTTGAAAATTTAAAAAAAGTGGATTTTAATTTTTTTTTAAAATTGGATTTATAAATTCGTACAAAATTTGTATTTGAGAATTCGGAAATTTTGAAAATAATTTGAATATTTGGATATTTAGAATAAATTTTTAAACTTTAAAAAACTTGGAAGTTTCGAAATTTGAAAAAAGAAATTGCAGCAAATTTTAATTTATTGTCATATAATTTACCAGAGATAAAAACTATATTCATGGCTAAATATCTGAAGGGTGTGAAATTTATAAAATGTTTTTTAACACGCTTTTATTAGCTTGACCTGTATAGAACGGAATCTTTCAACTTACTTGAAAATTTAAAAAAAGTGGATTTTAATTTTTTTTTAAAATTGGATTTATAAATTCGTACAAAATTTGTATTTGAGAATTCGGAAATTTTGAAAATAATTTGAATATTTGGATATTTAGAATAAATTTTTAAACTTTAAAAAACTTGGAAGTTTCGAAATTTGAAAAAAGAAATTGCAGCAAATTTTAATTTATTGTCATATAATTTACCAGAGATAAAAACTATATTCATGGCTAAATATCTGAAGGGTGTGAAATTTATAAAATGTTTTTTAACACGCTTTTATTAGCTTGACCTGTATAGAACGGAATCTTTCAACTTACTTGAAAATTTATGAAAAGTGGATTTCAATTTTTTTTTAAAATTGGATTCATAAATTCGTACAAAATTTGTATTTGAGAATTCGGAAATTTTGAAAATAATTTGAAGATTTGCACATTTTGAATAAATTTTTAAACTTTAAAAAAACTTGGAAATTTCGAAATTTGAAAAAAAAATGTAAGCAAATTTTAATTTATTGTCATATAATTTACCAGAGATAAAAACTATATTCATGGCTAAATATGTGAAGGGTGTGAAATTTATAAAATGTTTTTTAACACGCTTTTATTAGCGTGACCTGTATAGAACGGAATCTTTCAACTTACTTGAAAATTTAAAAAAAGTGGATTTTAATTTTTTTTTAAAATTGGATTTATAAATTCGTACAAAATTTGTATTTGAGAATTCGGAAATTTTGAAAATAATTTCAAGATTTGCACATTTTGAATAAATTTTTAAACTTAAAAAAAACTTGGAAATTTCGAAATTTGAAAAAAAAAATGTAAGCAAATTTTAATTTATTGTCATATAATTTACCAGACATAAAAACTATATTCAGTGCTAAATATCTGAATGGTGTGAAATTTATAAAATGTTTTTTAACACGCTTCTATTAGCTTGACCTGTATAGAACGGAATCTTTCAACTTACTTGAAAATTTAAAAAAAGCGGATTTTAATTTTTTTTAAAATTGGATTTATAAATTCGTACAAAATTTGTATTTGAGAATTCGGAAATTTTGAAAATAATTTGAAGATTTGGATATTTTAAATAAATTTTTAAACTTTAAAAAAACTTGGAAATTTAGAAATTTGAAAAAAAAAATTGTAAACAAATTTTAATTTATTGTCATATAATTTACCAGAGATAAAAACTATATTCATGGCTAAATATCTGAAAGGTGTGAAAATTATACAATATTTTTGAACAGGCTCTTATTAACTTTACCTGTATGTAAATCTTTCAACCTACTTGAAAATTTAAAAAACGAAATTTGATTTTTTTCAAATTGAATTCAGAAATTTGTAAAAAAATTGGAGTTGAATTTTTAGAAAATTCGGAAATTTTGAAAATTGAAGATTTAGATATTTTGATACTTGAATATGAAAAAAAAATATTTTTCACTGTGATTTAAAGAGCGCATACTGTTATTAAACCCATAGACTTAAACATGCCTCTACATGTTTCATCAAATTAATTTCACATGTCTCATTGCTTTTATGGTCCTTTTTTGAACAACTAATTTTTGCAGTTCTGAGCTGCCTCAAACAGTATTATTTAAATTATAATAAAATTAAATTTAGAAAATGTATCAAAATATCGGCTTTCATCATAAAATGAGTCATGATTTATTACAAAAATAATTTTCATTATATTTTATATTCTAGGTCTGTGATATCAAAACTCAGTTCTGTCTGACTTATAATTTAAATTTATTGTCATAATTTACCAGAGATGAAAACTATATTCATGGCTAAATATCTGAAGGGTGTGAAATTTATAAAATGTTTTTTAACACGCGTTTATTGGCTTGACCTTTATAGAACGGAATCTTTCAACTTACTTGAAAATTTGAAAATAGCGGATTTTAATTTTTTTCAAATTGAATTTATAAATTCGTACAAAATTTGTATTTGAAAATTCGGAAATTTTAAAAATAATTTGAAGATTTGGATATTTTGAATAAATTTTTAAACTTTGAAAAAACTTGGAAATTTCGAAATTTGAAAAAAAAAATTGTAAGCAAATTTTAATTTATTGTCATATAATTTACCAGAGATAAAAACTATATTCATGGCTAAATATCTGAAGGGTGTGAAATTTATAAAATGTTTGTTAACACGCTTTTATTAGCTTGACCTTTATAGAACGGAATCTTTCAACTTACTTGAAAATTTAAGAAAAGTGGGTTTTAATTTTTTTTAAATTTGGATTTATAAATTCGTACAAAATTTGTATTTGAGAATTCGGAAATTTTGAAAATAATTTGAAGATTTGGATATTTTGAATAAATTTTTAAACTTTAAAAAAACTTGGAAATTTCGAAATTTGAAAAAAAAATTGTAAGCAAATTTTAATTTATTGTCATATAATTTACCAGAGATAAAAACTATATTCATGGCTAAATATCTGAAAGGTGTGAAAATTATACAATATTTTTTAACAGGCTCTTATTAACGTTACCTGTATGTAAATCTTTCAACCTACTTGAAAATTTAAAAAACGAAATTTGATTTTTTTCAAATTGAATTCAGAAATTTGTAAAAAAATTGGATTTGAATTTTTAGAAAATGCGGAAATTTTGAAAATTGAAGATTTAGATATTTTGATACTTGAATATGAAAAAAAATTATTTTTCACTGTGATTTAAAGAGCGCATACTGTTATTAAACCCATAGACTTAAACATGCCTCTACATGTTTCATTAAATTAATTTCACATGTCTCATTGCTTTTATGGTCCTTTTTTGAACAAATAATTTTTGAATTTCTGAGCTGCCTCCAAACAGTATTATTTAAATTATCATAAAATTAAATTTAAAAAATGTGTCAAAATATCGTCGCCCATCAGAAAATAAGTCATGATTTATTACAAAAATATTTTTCATTATATTTTATATTCTAGGTCTGTGCTATCAAAACTCAGTCCTGTATGACTTATGGTTATTTCTGTGCTCTCTGGGACCCAACTGTGGTATGAAACCATTTTTGGATCACTTGGCTTTCAATACAAAATGTTCGGCTCCCGAATTTCAAATGTTGCAGTTGTTCGCCGATTGTATGGCGCATTATGTCACGTAAGATACATTTTTTATTCTATTTTTCACTTACTGATCCATCTTGCACGTTTTAGGATTCTCGATGATATGGAAATGTATGAGCAACAGAACCCTTTCAATTTATCGGATTTCGTAGTGATGTCTAACTTTTTGAATGTATTTTTATATAGAGCAGTTATGGGGAATCTATTTGGTAAGTTTGGATGTATTTGTCAAGAACTTCACATTTATCGTTAGTCTTATATGCATCTGAAGGAGCTCAAACTATAAAAATTAAAGTAGCCGTAAAGTCGTCCTACGATACGGCCCTTAACATTACGAGCATGGTAGGAATGTTGATTGCAACTCAAAATATTTTCAGACTTCAAGACGATACACAACAACAGCCTCTTCAACTCCCTTCACACACTGTTGATGCTTCTCTACAAGAGAGACTGCAGAAGGAACTACACGCCGGCAGGTCATTGGCTAATCAAAGAGATAAAAGTGTCGTCGTTCATCACGGATCTCGAAAAAGGAAGGCGAGCACCTCAGTTGCTACTGCAAACTATGCCACATATCATCCCGCACGAGGACAGAGTTAGGCTGTTCAGGAAACATATTAATAACGAAAAGACTGTTCTTGGCCTGACGGAATCAGCTTGCGCTTCTCCGCAGTCTACGCTTATCACAGTACACAGGTAAGTTATCCTTACCGAAATAAAGCTCACAAATTTAGCCCTAAGCAAACTTGGATATTCTGATAACGTTTATTGTCCTGATGTAACTCGACAGGAGGGTTTCTGACTGCAAAAGGTTCAAAACAGCTGTGTACGTTATATATCTGGCATACCTCCCAGCATCTCAAAGAAATGAAATGGTTGAACATGCAACAAAGATGGGTAGTGCACCTCCTCTCATCTCTCCATACCATTCTTATTAATATTATATCTATGAACACGGCAGCAGGAAATCATAGTTTTCCGGTATCTCTAAACGACAGTTTTCGCTTATATAGTCTACGGCAGCATCACTCTTTTTAAAACGGGCGTCATTCAATCGGTTGATGTCATAGCGGTGCGCTAGTGGTCTCGTACTAGAATCTGGACTATAAAGTTTTGTCTTGACACAGTTCAGCCGCCATCATGCGTTGGAACAGTTAAGGGCGTGCTTTCCGATCCTTCTGTGAGGAGAATTCTTCATGATGATCTTAATTTCCATCCTTACGAGATGGAAATTGTGCAGGAACCTTCTGAACGTGGCAAGCGCCCTCCAAAAGCGTGGGGCAAGCGGCAACCCCAAAATCGCGGGGCAAGCGAGAACCCCAAATCGTGGGGGCAAACAGCAACTCAAAAATCGTGGATCATGCGGCAACCCCAAAATCGTGGGGCAAGTGGTCTCCCAAAATCGTGGGACAAGCGCCTCCTAAATTCTTTGGGCTAGCGGCAACCCGAAAATCGTGAGGCGGCAATCTCAAAATTGTAAGCAAGCGTCAACTCCAAAATCGTGGAACATGCTCCAACCCCAAAATCGTGAGGCATGCGGCAACCTCAAATCGTGGGGAGCAAGCACCAAGCTCCCCCAAAAATCGTAGGGCAAGCGACAACCTTAAAATCGTGGGGGCAAACGGCAACTCCAAAATCTTGGAACATGCAACAACCCCAAAATCGTGAGGCAAGCGACCTCAACTCGTCGGGGCAAATAGCAAGGTCCCCCAAAAATCGTAGGGCAAGCGACAACTTTAAAATCGTGGGACAAGCGGCAAACCTCAAAATCATGGGGCAAGCCCCCCAAAATCGTGCGAGCAAACGGCACCTCCAAAATCGCGGGGAAGCGGCAAGATCTCCAAAATCGTGGGAGAGGCGGCAACCCCAAAATCGTGGGGCAAACGGCAACGCCAAAATCTTGGAACATGCAACAACCCCAAAATCGTGAGGCAAGCGACCTCAACTCGTCGGGGCAAATAGCAAGCTCCCCCAAAAATCGTAGGGCAAGCGACAACTTTAAAATCGTGGGACAAGCGGCAAACCTCAAAATCATGGGGCAAGCCCCCCAAAATCGTGGGAGCAAACGGCACCTCCAAAATCGCGGGGAAGCGGCAAGATCTCCAAAATCGTGGGAGAGGCGGCAACCCCAAAATCGTGGGGGCAAAGGGCAACTCCAAAATCATGGAACATGCGACAACCACAAAATCTTGAGGCAAGCGACAACCTCAACGCGTGGGGGGCAAGCAGCAAGCTCCCCCAAAAATCGTAGGGCAAGCGACAACTTTAAAATCGTGGGGCAAGCGGCAAACCTCAAAATCATGGGGCAAGCCCCCCAAAATCGTGGGGCAAACGGCAACCCCAAAATCGTGGAACATGCAGCAACCCCAAAATTGTGGGGCAAACGGCATCTTCAAAATCGCGGGGCAAGCGGCAAGATCCCCAAAATCGTGGGAGACGCGGCAACCCAAAAATCGTGGGGAAAACGGCAACTCCAAACTCGCGGGGAAGCGGCAAGATCCCCAAAATCGTGGGAGAGGCGGCAACCCCAAAATCGTGGGGGCAAAGGGCAACTCCAAAATCTTGGAACATGCGACAACCACAAAATCTTGAGGCAAGCGACAACCTCAACGCGTGGGGGGCAAGCAGCAAGCTCCCCCAAAAATCGTGGGGCAAGCGGCAAACCGCAAAATCATGGGGCAAGCCCCCCAAAATCGTAGAGGCAAACGGCAACACTAAAATCGTGGAACATGCGGAAACCCCAAAATCGTGGGGCAAACGGCATCTTCAAAATCGCGGGGCAAGCGGCAAGATCTCCAAAATCGTGGGAGACGCGGCAACCCCAAAATCGTGGGGGCAAAGGCTAACTCCAAAATTTTGGAACATGCGACAATAACAAAATCGTGAGGCAAGCGACAACCTCAACGCGTGGGGGGCAAGCAGCAAGCTCCCCCAAAAATCGTAGGGCAAGCGACAACTTTAAAATCGTGGGGCAAGCGGCAAACCTCAAAATCATGGGGCAAGCCCCCCAAAATCGTAGAGGCAAACGGCAACACCAAAATCGTGGAACATGCGGAAACCCCAAAATCGTGGGGCAAACGGCATCTTCAAAATCGCGGGGCAAGCGGCACGATCCCCAAAATCGTGGGAGACGCGGCAACCCCAAAATCGTGGGGCAAGCGGCAACCACAAAGTCGTGGGACTGGCAACAACCCTAAAATCGTGGGGCAAGCGAAAACCCCAAAATAGTAAGAAAAGCGCCGCCCAGAATCGTGTACCAAGCGGCAACCCGAAAGTCAGTGTTTCTCTGAATGTTATTTTTCTCTCAATTCCAGGAACAGGATAGTTGAGGACGGATACCGGCAGCTGGCTCTGTTGCCATCCCAAGCTTTGAAAGGTGTTATCAGGGTGCGTTTTATTAACGAGCAGGGTCTCGACGAAGCGGGTATCGACCAAGACGGCGTTTTCAAAGAATTTCTCGAAGAAAGCATAAAAAGGGTGTTCGATCCGTCATTGAATTTGTTCAAGGCCACCAGTGAGGAAAGACTGTATCCGTCTCCGACGTCAAATATGCAGGACAATCACTTACAGCTGTTTGAATTTGTTGGGCGTATGCTAGGTAAGTAACAGTTGAAATTATGGAACGATTATTGCACGTTCTCATATTTAGATTAATTTATTGATCCAGGTACATCTACTTGAAATGATTGGAGTCAGGGATCTATCTTAGGTCCAGTGTTATTCTATCTATATATCAACAATTTAGGCATTGTTCTCCTGAACATAGATTCGCTCTTTGTGCGGATGATTACTTTTTTAAGAAGAAAATTTGAAGCATTGCTTGCAGACATTCATCTGTGGTGCGACAGTAAGCAACTGTTTTTGAATCCAGAAAAAACGTCACTTGTAAGACTCCGTAACGTTCAGAAAAAGACAGAAGCATTTAGCGTTAATGTAAGAGTCTGAATAGTACCCATTACTTAAATAAAATTTCTGGGATTATATCTAAATTTTAAAGTTAATTAGTTTCTATTCACTGTGTCCAAATAGAGCCAAGATTAAGATACGCTTTGTGTTTCTGGGGTTTGACAGCTAACGCTCAGCAAGTATTTCTGATTCTAAATAGAGCAATTAGATGTTGACTGAAAGCGTAACTTTGTCGTTTAAGATATTCGAGAATGTTTTTCATTGCTGTGTTTCACTCAACTTAAACTATCATTTTAAACGTATCTCAAAAAATAGGAGACTTTTCATTAATATGTTTGACCCTTGCAGGTAAAGCTGTATACGAAGGGATAGTCGTAGACGTTCCGTTCGCATCGTTTTTCCTCAGCCAAGTATCCGGTCAAACAAACCAGGTGCTTTACAGTTGTGTCGACGAACTACCCTCTCTGGATCCCGATTTATATCGTAGTTTGAGTTATGTGAAGCACTACGAAGGGGACGTTTCCGATTTAGACCTCACCTTCAGCGTGGACGAAGATAATTTGGGTAAAATAGTTACGCATGAGCTAATTCCTGGAGGAAAAGCGATACAGGTCACTAATGAAAATAAGTGAGTGTCCTTTTTTTATTCTTTATAAATTCAGATCATAATTTGAAATTTGGAAATCCTAAAAAAAACATCGGAAATTTCGAAATTTGAATAAATGGTAAATTTAGGAATAAATATTTTGAAATATCGAAATTGATTGATTACAATTACTTTTATGGACATTTGAGACAAAAAATTCAGAAAATTATAGTTAAAAAAAACTAATTTTCGCCAATTTCGCGAAGTCTAATTATGATAACAATGATCATAGAAAAAATCGAATCTGATTTTTTTTTAAATTTGAATTTTTGAAATTTTTAAAATATCTAGATTTGAAAACTAGAAACGTAATTGGAAAATTCGGATATTTTGAAGTTTGGAAATCTTGAAAAAGATTGGAAATTTCGAAATTTGAAAAAATGGCAAATTTTTTAACACATTTTGAAATTTGGAAAATAATTGATTGTAATTACTTTTATAGACGTTTGAGACCAAAAATTCAGAAAATAAATTATAGTTTTAAAAAAACTAATTTTAACTAATTTACATAGCGGTCAAGTGCCGATAACAGTACAATGTTTTTGAAAAATTTGAATTTGAGAATTTTTGAAAAATAAAAAAAGTTTGGGAATTTAAAAAACAGGAATTTCGAAATTTCAAGAAAATTATTAATTTTGGAAATTTTGATATTGATTATTTTGCCTTTGTTTTGAGAGTAAAAAATTAGAAAATAAATTTTAGTTCAAATAAATTGAAAAAAAATGTACAAATCGAAAATTTGAACAATTCAAGTTCGTAAATTTTGAAAAAAATTTGAAAACCTCGAAATTTGTAAAAAATTGTGAAACTCAATTGACTACAGACTAAAGATTCCGGTAATAAATTTTAGTTAAAAAAAACTAATTTTCATCCCCGTGTTGAGAAGTCTGATTAACCTGAAAATGGGCTGATGACAATAAATAAAAAAAATCAAACTTGAAATTAAAAAAAAAAGAATTTTTAAATTTGAAAAAATGAGGTTTGAAAAACATTTGGGAACATTCGGAAATGTGGATAATAATTTTAAGTTTGAAGATTGTGAAAAAATCGAAATTTTGAAATTGATCAACCTTTAAAATTTGAAAATTTTAATAGTTTCAATTAACCGCCAAATATTCGCTAGATATAAGAAACTGTATTGTTTTAGGATAAACTACATTCACTTGATGGCACACTTTCGCATGCATGTCCAAATAAAAGACCAAACAGCTGCGTTTATCAAAGGATTTCGGTCTATCGTTAATCCAGATTGGTTGACATTATTTTCAACACCTGAGGTATGTAACAAGAATGTCCATTTTTTTGTAATGCTGTAATAAAACCATTTAAAGCCCCTTATCAATCAATCAATCAAAACCCTTACTTCCATACATTTGTGTTGGAATTGTCAATTCTTCGTACGCTACAAAGTACAACTAATCTTAAATTGCAATGTTCAAAAATTCATTAACATGATAAAAGCATTTGTTTAACAAAAAAAGTACGTTCATTAGAATTCAAGAATTTTTTACTTATCGATTTATCTTGCCATGAACAAGTGATAAAATGGTCAGGTTTTTCTTTTGAGTTTTTGTGGTGTCTGCGTGTATTGTTTAGCGATCAAGAAGCATTCAGTTTTCGTACATTTACTGTGTCATTTAAAAGTTAAATTTCGTGTAGCTTATTGGGGGGGTTCTGGACGTCCTTGGGAGACCACAGAGCGACAAATCCGTCGCTTAAGACTTCAGTGGTTTGAGCATGGAAGGATAGTTGGTATGCAACTGTACATCGGCATAACCGTTTGCTCTGGTGTGGAGAAAGAATTCTTTGGGAACGGGAATGGAATGAGGTGGTCTTTAGTGACGAATCCCACTTCTGATGGAGAGCGATGATATGGGGTGCTATTGCTTATGGTAGCAGATCACCAGTAATTTTCAACAGAGGCGATGTGACAGCTATATTCAGGAAGTAGTGGAGCCTCATCTCATTCCAAAGCTGAACACGATCCAAAACATCAAGACAACGCCAGACCGCATGTTGCCAGATCATCGTTAGCCTTCATGGATCAACATCGCATCAACCGGTTACTTTAGCCACCACGATCGCCTGACCTATCTCCAATTGAACATGACTGGGACATGATAGGTCGCAGGCTCCTGAATTTGCGACACCCTCCACAGACTTTAGCAGCTCTTACTCACGAAGTTGCAGTCGCCTGGAATGAGATTCCCCAACAGGATATCAACCACCTTATCAGCACGTCAATGAGTGTATGAGGAATCGTGGATCCTCAACACATTATTGAACCAGCTTCTGCAGTCAATTGACGAATCAAGCTGAAAATTTAATCATTTTACTACTAAGGGACACTGAACATATACGCCAAAAATTATTAAAATCGTACGTAGATCACTCAGTATATTTTCAGTTGCAACGGTTAATATCAGGCGACAACGTACCGCTGGATCTGAAGGACTTACGGAGGAATTGCCAGTACTATGGCGGCTTTCACGACTCTCACCGAGTCATAGGATGGCTGTGGGATATATTAGAGAAGGACTTTAGTGAGGAGGAAAAAGCGATGTTCTTAAAAGTAAGTTTTCATTCGTAAACTGTTTAAAGCTTTTTTTATATCGGTTACGTCATTTTAGTTCGTGACGAGTTGTTCTAAACCGCCACTGCTCGGTTTCGCGCATTTGGAACCGCCGTTTTCGATAAGATGCGTGGAAGTAGCTGATGACGAAGATACGGGTGATACAATAGGTAAGACGTTTATTTTTCAGGGTGCGGCAGCATAGCTTTTATATTTTGCGGTGTTTGTTGTACCCGAAAGGCAATTGTGGTCTCTTCTCCACTCGTATTGATTTTCACTGATATGAAACTCGCAATAGAGATAATATTTTCCCTAATAGACATCGCCTTAAAAAAAACAGAAACGGGACAAATTTTTATGGTATTGTATGTTTTAACCTGTTAAATCGCCGAGTATTGATGCTTTCCACAAGAAATTCAAAGAATATAACTAAAAAAAGCATTCTTCTGTATTTACGAGTATTTGACAAATTACTTCAATGTTATGCTTTTATAAATGTTCGTATGATTTTTTATCTTAGTCGCTCCCGCAATTCCGCATGTGTTAATGTTCATATTTATTTTACTCGTTTTTCCGCTTGTGCGTTTATGCAAGGTGTCCGCAAAGTTGGTGTTTTCCTTTACACGACGTGTAGATCTTTTCTTAGTAGCATATTCACCAATGTCTTCAGAGAACCGAAATACTGATGGGCTCCGCAAATTGATTCGAACCTGAACCAAATCACGACCTCACCGCCAGCGTACAGTTATACGACGTACGACTACGATGTAAAGACGCTAGTATGCAACCTAACCTAGACGCCGGTAGTGTAGGTCAACAAACCATTACATTGTTGTTCAAAAATAAAAAATGGACAATCGGAAACAGTGTTTTTGGACTTCAAAAGGGCGTTCGAGACTATTGACAGGGATAAATTACTTACAAAATTGCATCACTACGGATTTAAAGGATCTGTATTCAAAGTTCTACAAAACTATTTAATTGAAGTCTAAAAACCAAAATTGGATCTACATTATCAAGATCAAAAAATATTTCTGTTGGTATACCACAAGGTAGTAAACTAGGGCCACTACTAATTATTTTATACATTAATGACATTTGTAATATTTTAGATTATTGTAAACTTCAGATATTTGCAGATGATACATTAATATACATATCAGATGAAAATATAGACACTGCTTTAAAAAAGCTAAGTCCTGACTTGGCAAAAATCGTAAATTGGTTAAATATAAAAACACTAAAATTCAATACTTCTAAAACAAGATGTATGCTAATAGGGAAATACCTAAATGAAAATATTATCACGGTTAGGATAAATGGAGAAATAATTGAAAATGTTGAATCAATTTAATATTTATGTATATATATTGATAGTAAACTAAAGTTTGAGGATCACTATGAATACATTATTTCAAAAAAAAAACAAATTACTTTTATAGGGCTTCTCATAGTCTTGGTACCTATTCCAAGAAAATAGTTTATAATACAATTATTCTACCGCATTTACTATATTGTTCAACTATCTTGTTCAAGCTGTATTCTCAAAATTACAAGTCCCGCAAAATAAAGCTATGAGAATAATATTGAATAAAAATAAGTACACCAGAATAAAATCTATGTTACAAGAATTGCAGTGAATGAATATAAAAAATTTCATATCATATTTAAGTCTTATTTATATATTTAAAATAAAAAATCATCTTTTGCCAGAACATTTAGAACACTGCATAGAATTGAATAATCATTACCACAATTATTATACAAGAGGAAATATCGATTTTCATTTACAAAATTACAAAAGCAATATAACTAGCAAATCAATATTTCAGAAAAGATTACTTGAATTTAATTAACTAAATAATGATATAAAGTCTACTTGTAATTTAAAGATATTTAAAAGAAAATTAAAGGAATATTTCTTGGTCAATGAAAATTCTTAGAGATGCAATTGTCTGTATGTTATGTAATTGTTCAATTTTTTAGAAGAATGTAATTGTAGCAATCATGCTAAATCAATCTTAAACAAACAAACAAACAGTCATACACCAATAGCGAACTAGCCGACATGCTGTTAATTTACGGTGAGTTTCTTCAAAATGCGACCGAGGCTTCGCGAGTTTATGCAGATCGTTTTTCCAGTCGTCGTCATCCAAGGCCCCGTAAATTTGTTTACCTTGTGCACTTGGGAGACCTAGACAACCCCGAATGGTGCACACTGAGGGAGAAGTACTGAATCTCGTAGACGAGAATCCCTCAACAAGCACTAGGGACGTAGCTAGACAAGTACAACTGTGGAGGACTAATGTGTGGCAAACGCTGCATGATGAGGGATTGTAATCATTTCACGTGCAACGTGTACCAGCCCTCCAAGCTGAGGATTTTCTTGCAAGAGTGCAGTTTTCTGATCAGAACTTTTTGAAGTGCATATTAGTCACAGACGAATCCACGTTCACGCGTAACGGGGTGAATAACTTCCGCAATATTCGGGTGTGGTCAGTAGAAAATCTTCTGGCTATTCGTCGGTCACACTTTCAACAAACATTTTCTGAATGTTAGAACATTTTACCAACCCTGCTAGAAGATGTGCCTTTGAGTGTAAGACAATCAATTTGGTTTCTCGATGACCGTGCACCGTCCCATTTTAGACGCGAAGAACGTGAGTTCTTAAATGAATCATTTCCGACTAGGGAACAGGTGGAACGGACCCGTAGCATGGCCCCCGCGATCTCCAGACTTAACACCGTGTGATTTTTTCTTTGCGGCGAAACGAAACGCTCGGTGGACAAAACTGAGGTGTACACGGTTGACAATTGAGCAAGCTGCATACTTTCAGCGATCGTATGAACAGCGGAAGCGGCGTTGTCAGAAGTGCAACTTGTCTCAGGGGGAGTACTTGGAAGGAGACCATATTGAAATGCCTGAACAAAGTTATTGTTTCACTTTTTTGCACAAACCTCGTATATGCATTCTTGTTTGTATTTACAGGCAGCGTGTTCCGGGGATTTTTCACGATCAGAAAAAAAGATCCGCAGAATCGCCTGCCTACATCCTCCACCTGCTTCAATCTCCTCAAATTGCCAAACTACCAAAAGAAGAGCACGCTTCGCGAGAAGTTACGTTACGCGGTCACTTGCAACACCGGCTTCGAGTTATCATAATTTCTCGAGATTATGAATATTTGGAAACATGGAATTGATGTTAAATGTCATATCATTTTTTTTACTGAAGCTCGAGTATTTTTTCGTACGGAAAATTCTTTGGAAGTGGGTGAGTATATCAGTACATTTTCGAATTGAATTTCATTCGCAGTCGTTTGGTGTTAAGGTATTTCTTTGACTAGCGTGTTCGATAAGGATCAAGGATGGAAGGTGCCAAAATTTTAGGCGGTTCAGAAATCAGTATTTAAGGTATAACGGCTGTGGCATAATGGGTTACATTGATATTGTTCAATCGATTTTAATTTTAACATTATTACCGGACAAACTATAGTCGAAATCACGAAAGATGACGATACGTCATCATTTCAGTCTGTAGTAAAAACAAACGACAGCGATTTGTGAATATTTTTAATGAAGTTTCAGATATGTTAGACAGAGACAAACAGAAGATGTTGCATGATCGATCATATCTGAAAGATGAATAGTTTTTTTTTTTTTTATATATATCGAAACAGCCGCGCAGGCAGAAGCCTAAATGCCGGAACACCGCGGCTGCTATGATGATCCCAAAGAAATTTTGTTAATACGATTTTTGAACTGCCTAAGGTTAGCAGAACTGGGAAAAGCTTCCTCCCGTAGATTGTTCCACAATCTAGACACCCTCGGGACAAAGGAGCGGTCGTATCGGCAAGTTCTGGATGTACGAAGTTTGACACGGTTAGGATGGGATGCCGAAGTCAGGCGGGTCTGTCTGGCAGGCGCATCGCGCGGCGGCATCATGGAAGAGAGCTCTGAGGAGCAAAGCCCGTTGGTGTAGCGATAGAAAAGAGCTAGATCGCCGACGGCCCGCCGGTGCGAAAGAGTCCCGAGACTGTCTGTTAGAGAAGAGTCATCGATCAGTCGGACCGCCCTCCTCTGGACAGCATCGAGCATGGACAATGTAGTCGGGGCGGCAGCACCCCAAATGTGTGAGCAATACTCGAGGCTAGGCCTTATCTGGGCCTTGTATAGAGTGAGAAGGTCATGCGGAGAAAAGTACTTCTTAGCCCTAAACAAATAGCCTAGCTTTTTCCCAGCAGCTGCAGCTATTGAAGAGATGTGTTCGTGCCAGATCAGGTCCTCGGTGATCTGGACTCCGACCAGCCGAAATGAATGGCTCTTTGGTAGAACTCGACGGTCCATCGAAACTGTATGAGCGCTAGGACGCTTTTTGTTCGTCAAGGTACAGTACTGTGTTTTGGAAGCATTGAACTGTACAAGATTGTTGCGTCCCCAAGCAGTGATAGCCTCCAGGTCTCTTGTCAGAGAAGAAGTCGTCGCTAGTCTTCTTTTTTCCAGCTCAGCGGCAGAGATCGGCTTGTCACTCTGAATTCCTGCATGTAGAGTGCTGTCATCAGCGAAGCTGTGGATTGGGTTGATCGTGCAGGAAAGGAGGTCGTTGATATGTAAGAGAAACAGTGTTGGAGCCAAGACCGATCCCTGGGGAACACCCGCGTTGACGTTGTGGGATGAAGAGGAGAATCCGTCAATTACGACGGATATCTTGCGGCCAGAGATAAAGTCAGCCACCCATCTGCAAAGCTTTTCTGGGAGGCCGTAGGATGGAAGTTTGCTTAAGAGGGCAGCGTGCCACAGCTGATCGAACGCTTTCGTGATGTCAAGAGCAACGACATGAGCCTCACCATGAGACTGGATGAGTTTACTCCACAGTTGCGTGACGTAAGCTAGGAGGTCCCCTGTGGATCGTTGGTGCCGGAAACCGTACTGCCTGTCGCTAATCAAGCTGTGACGTTCGAGGTAGTCCAGAAGCTCGCGATTTATGCACCTCTCCATCACTTTACTTATAACAGAAATCAGAGCTATAGGCCTGTAGTTGTAAGGGTCGGTTTTAGATCCTTTTTTTGGGATGGGCTGTACATGAGCAAATTTCCAGTTTTCTGGGAAGGTGCCGGATTCATAAGATATCTGGAAGAGACGCGAAAGAACTGGAGCAAGCTCCGCTGCACATCTCTTCAGTACAATGGCAGGAATCAAGTCCGGACCAGAAGCTTTGTTGATGTCGAGCGACAAGAGCACTCGTCTTACGGTCTTATGCCTGAATGTTACTTCCCGCATAGTGTGGGGAACCCTTTGAATTGACGGCACTTGGGCGTTGGTGGGGACGTCCATGGTGGAGTTGGCAGCAAAGATCTTGGCTAGCACTTCCGCCTTGGCCTGTGAGTCGAATACAATAGTTCCATCCTGACACGTAAGTGGTGGAAGGCTACTGTGTGAGAAGTTCTTTTCAATCTGCTTGGCCAGCGTCCAGAAAGACCGACTGCCATTGCGCTGCGACATTACCCTGTGCCTAACTTTTATATCATGCTGGTTTTTGGCATTGCGAACCGCTTCGTTATATTTGTTTCTGGACTCGACGTCGGCTTGTCTGTTCTCTACAGTGGGGTTTTGTAAGTAGATTCTGTGGGCCTTGATCTTCTGCTGGCGAGCAGTGTCACACGATTTGTTGAACCAGCCGTTGGACCCTGGTTTAGGAACTTTCACTGTGTGAGGGATGTATTCCTCCATTCCGACGTGGATAATTTCGGTTATTGAAGAACAGACAGTCGACGCATCCGCGTCAGTTAAACAGACATCTCTCCAAGGAAAGCTAGAGAAGAAGTCTCTGAGCCCCTCCCAGTCGGCATGTCCGTAATGCCAAGTTTTGCGGCCTGTGCGAGTTTCTGCTGCCACAGCGGCTTCTGACCGAAACCTAACCTCCACAACACCGTGATCTGAATTACCCAGGGGGGACAGGACAGCAGTGCTGTAAGGGGCAGGATGCGTGGTCAGAAAGAGATCTAGCAGGCTACTGGCGTGTGACGAGACGCGGGGGAAAAAAGTAGGGCTCGTCACCAGCTGGGTCAGCCCTTGAGTAAGAGCGAACGCTTCGACTGCACGACCTGCTGCATCGGTCTTATTTGAGCCCAACCAAAGCTCATTATGGGCATTGAAATCACCGAGAAGAACTACCTCTGAAGCGGGGTGATTGATGTTCAGGAAGTCGATCTGGACGGCGAGGTATTCGAGTAGGTCATCCCAGTTATGGTTCGAGGGAGAGCGATAAAGGCAGCAAATAAATTTGGGTGATGTTTTGGAGTTGAGGCGAAGCCACAGAATGTCCTTCCGGTCTGATTCCAAAGAAAGATCCCTGGAGCAGGAAAGACTGCTGCGGACAAAAGCCACAACTCCCCCGTTCTTTCTCAGATTGGAGTGCACCTCGTAGTTTGGGAAGTTGAGATGGTTAATCGGTGCAGTCTCTGAGATTTTTGTCTCCGCCAAGAAAAGCACGGCGGGACGATTGGATTGCAGGTAGTGATGAACAGCATCAATGTTGCTGTTGATCCCGCAGATGTTCGAAAAACAAATTTTATCTTCGATGTTGTTCCCTCGAGCCCACCCTCCACCCGGACATTCCGAGAGTGGAGTGAGTTTACGTCCGGAGTTTTTAGTGCTCGAGGGATCCATCATCATTAATTTCTTTGTTTTGGTAGATAAGGCTTTGTTTTGGTAGTTAGGTTATGTTAAAGCAGGTTAGGTTGTTTTCGAGTAATACTTTGGTCTTTGGTGTTCCTGTCTTAAGGTATTCTACTCATAACTGTTTTTTTTTTCAAAACATTAACTCCCTACTAAAATTATTAAGGTATCACTCAAAACCATGAAATAAAATGAAAATAAAAATAATCGGTGAAATAACCTAACTTCGTAAAATCATAATATAAATTTGTTGTCATTATGTTTACGCGCGGACGTGCTGGTATTGATAAGTGTCTTGGCATTACTGCGCTTAGGCGAGAGGCGACATTGCCAGACTGACGGTAACTACCGGTAGGACAGGGAAATAATGTCTATGGAATGATAGTTCTAGCCTGTTTGACTGACTTGATCCGCTCAAATCCTCTGTTATACGTGCTCGTAACTAACTTGTGCTGAACATAATCCTTGATGAACTGATAGCGACGTTGCGTGCGAAGTGGAGAGTCAATCTACTTGACGCTATTTTTACTGTGTCTAAAGGTAAAAATATCCATTTATATCAAGTTACGTATATTTCTTATATTTCCCGGCAATATGAACCACAATCGAATCAAAATATATTATGGCTAATAATCTCACTTACATTATATAAAGCAACTCATATGCGTATACACAAATGGTGTCTGAATAGGTACTTCGGGTTTCTTTCTTTGAAAAAATTAATGATTGAAAAAAGTGTTTGAGTATATACCAGAAGAAGCTACGACAATGTTGTGTCGTGCTGTAAAAACGACCCCAAAACTTGAATCCTAGAGTAACAGTGGTGCTTTGACAAGGTTGCCATGTTGTGATATTTTCCTCCAACTTTGGGGATTCTTACTTAGGAAATTTTTGGGAGATACAATCGTTTCGATTATTAAGTGTGTTTTGGAGTTTTTTTTTAAGTAGCAATTCTGAGGGATTATTGTGCTTGTTCTGCGAAAATGTATACGATCATCTGGCAACCGTGTGCTTTGACATATTCGCAATATGAACACCAACCATTGCCATTTAGTTAGTAGTATTTCTTGTGAATCTTCGGTAAACATAGTCGGAAATTGTTACTGCTATTTAGTTATTTGTGAAGAAAGGCCTCCCTTTGTGCGGTAATGAATTGTTTAACGAGTCAGCAATAACATGTTCATTGTTTAGATTTTCTGCTTTTCCCAAATTCTGGTGAAAAATCCAATATTTCGTCAAAAGACAAACAAGATTTGTTGATTAAGTCATTGAAGATTGGGCCCCTTGATAGATTACTATTTTTAGATTCACTCTGTTATTCAAAGAGGTTTTTGATAATATTCCGCTATTTCCCCCAGTTGGAATAAATTATGCTTGTGAACCTAAGAGTACTACCAGATAAAATCTTTTGTAGGTTTTTGATAACTTTTGTAAACTATTGAGAAACCTTTAAATTTTTTGAAAATATCCTTTGAGTGGCCTTAAAATACCCTTAAATGCCTTCCCAGAGACGAACTATTCTCTAATTTTGACTCAACGTCTGGACTCGCTAACTTATTATGAATTGCTCTTTGAAGTGATCTTTAAATGACCTTCAGATGACCTCATAATGACTCACTGACCTCTGATTCGGACTTATTAACCCGATAATGTCTTTGCTTTGACCTTGAAACGCCCTTACAGAGCACAAACATACCTCAGCGACCCAAAAAACACCGCCTCCTAGGTTGAATCGTTGCCATATGGATCAAACAGAGTTCCCCCAGAAAAATAAAAAAAATCCCCCAGATTTGCAACCTTTTTTTAAAAAAATCCCCCATATGTCACAAGGAGGAGGGGGGAGACAAAGATAGCTAAATCAATAGACTCCTGCTCATTTTCAAGTACGTTTTTGATGGGTTGAAATGTGAAACGATCCTCAATCTTAAATTGGCTTAAAGGTTCCGAAATGGGTGCGACAGTTTTTTCCAACAAAATACGCCAAAAATACCCAACGATTTTGTTTCCCCAAAAATCCCACAGAACATTTTATCCCACCAAAAAACTCCCCAAGCGACGTAAAAATCACCCAATATGGCAACCTTGGTCGTTGAAAAATGGCACTTAATTTAAATCCCGGGGTTCCTACTAGGACGCCCTTTGTTTATTAGACTTTTGTATTCAAAGGA